CTCTTCATCTAATCAGAGAAAAACGGCACGAATCAGTAAGCTTCGCGAAGATCACGCCATCGACGATGACGTCAACCTACACTCTAATTCGACGGGCAGCGACAAACTGGGTTGCAGAGCACACGGAGAACCGGCGGACGATGATGGCTTCACCTGGACAACCATCGATGATTCCAGCAGCACGAGCTAACAAAACCACGAAAAGATTGCAATTGAAGATGGCGTCAACATGGACTCTGGCTGGATCGTTTGTTGATACGCTTGGTTCCTCATTCATCACTCTGCTTTCTCTCCGCCATAACATGCAATCAGGAGATCGTATAATTTTGGAACCCCCTGCGCGTCACATATGTGACGAACTACTTCCCGAACTCGTGCTATCTTTCGTACCCTTTGGTTTAAATTTTTCTTATATCATAATGACCCCGTTTGATTTCTTGATTTCCGGCGCCGTGTTTCGGGCCCCCATCTTCCGGAAGCTTTTGTGATTCTTCGGTTCTGCTTTTTCTTTTGCACGTCGGGAAATGCATAGGAATTTACACGCGCCTTAGCGAGCGCACTGGGAATTGGGCCCGGCAATTGTGAATTCCGGGATAAGCGGAACTTCGACGTGTCCCTTTTGTGTGTGAATATTCTCGATCGCGATGGGGAAAACTCTCGGAATTTTTTGGGGATACAAATAGGCGTAGGACTTTCTTTTCCCGCGTTGCTCTTTCGCGCGCGGATATGGTGATTATAATTTTGAATTGGTTTAGGATGTAGGCAAGCTGTAACTGTTTCAGTGCCTTTTTCTCTTTTTCAATGCCGCGCATGCAAAGCTTTTTCCTCTCTGTCCCCCGCATCGCTCTCTCCCTCGCTCCTTTTTCCTTCCTCCTCCTCTTCCTCTCTCCTCGTAACTGTTTTTCTTCCTCTCTCTCTCTCCCGCTCTGCTCTTTGCGCACCTATTTCCCTTTCTTGATCATCTGAATCTTGGACCCGTCTTGCGCTACTTCTCGCGCCTTTTCTTTTCTCACCCTTCGAGCAAAGCTTGCAAAGTCCGGTCGATCCTTCGATTACTCTCGCCCACCAATCAGACGTGTGGTACGGTAGGATCTGTCTATTGCGCGACGAGTCTGATTGGCCAATTGCCGAGTTTCGAAGGATCAGCATGGCTTCTGTAGCACGCTTCTCGCCAAGTCTTCTCCTCCTGCTTCTCTTCTTACACTTCGACTTTCCCCCTCCCTTCTCTCTCCCTTATCTCCCTCCTCGCCACTATAAATTCTGCAAACGCGCCCGCAAATCTCTCTTACGTTCTCGACTCCCAAGCCAACTTACAGGAAGCAGTGGCTAGGCAGAGTGTTTTGTGCGAGTCAGAAAGTCTTGTCGGGCTGACGATAGGCTGGCCGGTTGTGCGCTTGATCGCCACGACGGACTGTGGGATCGGGGCGAACCGCGTCGAGTTTACGTCGGCGGGTTGACGATCGCAGTGGTGGGAGTTAGCACGCGACGGCCGGGATCGTCGGTGTGGGTATGAGGATCAATGATTAGAGTTGAGTGGGTGATTGATCCGGGGCCATATTGGAATTAACGGCGAATGCGACTTTGTTGTTGCGGATCTTTATCTCTTGCGTGAGTGCACGGCGGCAACGCCGAACTTCCTCCTCTTCGGATCTTGTCATCTCCTATCTCGACTTTCCTCCCTCATCTCCCTCTCTCTCCTCTATCTTTGAATGATGATGTGTCTCGGTGTTGGTCTCCCCCTTGATGGCAATGAGTCTGTGTGCTTTCTGGTGTGAAAGAACTTCTTTCAGAACTCTTGCATTAGTTTCCTGGGTAATCCCTATATGTCGAGGAATTGATCCTCTTGTCTTGTGAACGGTGGATGCATGTGTGCAATTCCCTCGGTTGATTTCCGACATGTGTATCTCTGTCATTTCCGCACCTTCCACAGTGAATGTATGTATGGGGATGCTTGTCTTTTCGTGTTGATTAGGCGCAACACTCGGTGCACTGGGATTTTGTCCGAGAATGCAAGAGTGTTTATATTTGTAGTTCTGAATGCACTGCGCATGCCATCTGCCTTATGCTGCCCGACATTTGCAACCGATCTAGAGGGCAGCCTCGAGAAACAAGGCGCCTGGGATCAACGCCGCGGTGGCTTGCTAAACCTGAGTCGCGGGTCAGTCCCTCGGTTACATGCATGATCAAGATGATGAGTGTTTTCTTTCTCTCTCTCTCTCTCTCTCTCTCTTTCTCTCTCTCTCGTTTTGAAAAGGATCGATTGGTAGTGGTGCGAGTGTTTTCTTTTCTTGATGACGTCTCGGGATTTTTGCAATTGGTTGACATGTGGACTGACAAACACCCTTCGATCGGGCGTCAGCCTCCCGTATCTCAGGTATCAACACGACCTTTTCCTTACAACGAGGAAAGGACACGTGTATGCGAGTGGGACGTACGAGAAGCCGTCGCACGAATCGGCGGGCGATATTACTTTCCTCCGGAAAACCGATGTTCGGGGTTTGTAGAGGCTGGGTTTGTCATTATTGATACACACTTCCCACCCTACTCGATATTGTTGCCATTCAACGAGTTGATAGTCATCCCGTGGACGGCTGTAGAACCCCACTGGCCGCGCACTCTATGCCCCGAATGCCAGCGCTTTGAGCGCTACGAAACAAAGGGTTTCCACTACCGTGTGCGGAGTGAGGACGAACATAGAGAAAGAGCCACGCAACTAAGACCCTCCACGTCCGATTCAGAACTGGTCAGTGAACGACGACGGGACTTAATACGAAAACGAGACACGCGAAGCGTGCCGAAGCCTTTCTGTTCTAAACGACGGGCCATAGCCAGGTGGTAAGTCCGACAATATTTTCTGGATGGAATTTGTATTTCTCTCTCCTCTTGCGCCAAACTTTCGCGCGCACTTTGCGTCGCTCGAAAAACGATCGACTTACTTCGTCGGACCAACACGAGGGATCTCAGTTCCGTCTGTGTCCCCACACTCAACTTCCAAAAATCCTTGGCACACCCCATCTTGCTGTTTTTCTGGTCCTCTTTCTGCACATCTAGCACTCCGAACGAAAGACAGCACAGGGCGTGAGGTTTTGCGCGTCACAGCCGCTCGTTACACAATTCCAAATCTGATGTGGACGACCTTAATCGCGTGGCCCTTTTCTTATGCTCGTCCCTATTCTGTACTCGGTAGTGGAAGCCCTTGGATTGGTAGTGATCGAAGCGTTGGCAATCACTACACAGAGTGTTAGGCCAATGGAGCGCCACTGCCGACCACGGGATGACGATCAAGTCGTTGAATGGTAATAGTAATGAGTATGGCAGAAAAATATGTATCGAATCACTATCGATAATGACAAACCCAGCGCCGACAAACCCAGAACACCGATTTTCAGGAGGGAAATAATATCGCCCGCCGATCTTGGCGACGACTTCTCTTACGTCCCACTCACACACACCCGTCCTTGTGACGCCCAACCTCACGCCCAGCACCACTTCTTGATCGGAGTAGGATGCGGGCCTGGAAGTGCGAAAGGGGTGTGCCAAGGATTTTTGGGAAAGTGGAGTCCCAGGTCGTAACTGAGATCTCCTGTGACAGGGTCTTTCGGGGGCACAAGTGCAATTTGGAGGAAAGGGCGTCTCCGGGTTACAAGGCAGGTGGTATGTGCGGGTTGCTCAAGATCGAGCGAGCCATTGGTTTCGGGGACGGTGGTTCGTGGGCGGGTCCCATCGGGGTAGGTGAGGTTCCGATGATTCCGCCTGTCGGGGATTGCCACGTGGTGCTGGTCGACGAGCGTTCGGGTTAGGCCCTCCGAACTCCGGGGTTCTCTGATCGCCGCATCGTCGGCAGTTCTCGCAGGGTGTGTTGGGCCAGTAGGGGGCTATGGTCGGCCACGGAACGACGCTGAGTTGATGGTACGAAAGAAGAAGGCGAAAGGGAGGGAAACTGGTGGTAATGACGACAAATCCCAGGTGGATGAAGTAGTAGGTATGGTCTGGAGAAGGGAAATCAGAGCACCGGGGGTCGCTAGAGGTGGCGCAGTGGAATTCTCGAGGACATAGTCGATTCTCAGTGTGGCAGGGGTATCGCTGCCTTAGGATTTCGTTTATCCAAGGGGTGAAGTAATCCGGGTCGTAGGATGAGTCGGAATTCCAGGATCGTGTGATCATGTCATTGCGGTATTATGAGTTGGCTAAGGGCTGGTCCGTGGTGACCGTGGTCGCCGCATGCGAGCACGTGCAGGCCGCGCGAATGGCGTCGAACTTATGCGTGCTCGTGCGGGTCGAGTGCGTTGTGGCGGATTCCGAGATGGCCACTCCCAATCGGACAGATTGATAGTCCTGATGAGTTGACATCCGGGGATACGTGTAAGGGCGCAACGTAGGTCGCGTTTTACACGTGTCCTCGCGCGGCGTTTACCGAGCCCGGTATCCGACCGTCTAATTACTCCGTGATGTTCTGGTTATGCAAGATGCAATGATCACAAAACAGCTGGATCCAAAGACAAGCAAACACGCGGACAGAATCATCAATTGCGCAAAATTCCTATTCTACATACATGTGCATCGAATGAGAAGGACAACGCAAAGACAAAAGATTCCCCGCAAAAGGTAAACAAGCAAGCATAGCCTCCATACATCCGCATCCTCAGTAATCATACACACGATACCCCAAAGGCAAGGACAGAGATCAGAAACGATAGAAACATGGCATCCATACATTCATAGTGCATCGGAGAGGGGGAATCGCAAAGACAAGTGTGAGCAAAAATCCAAGTCCGGGTTCTGGAAAACAGAAGGGAAAACAAAAACGGGCGAATCGCCCGGAGCAGCAATTCAAAATTTATGTACACAGAAAGGGAGGGGGAAAAAACAAAGAATCAGCAAATATGCGTCCATCCACCTGAACTCTCTCTCCCCCTCTCTCTTCTGCTCTGATGTGGACAGTCAGTCGTCGCGCACCAACCACGAAGTCGTCACCCCGCTTAGTCCTCCCGCACCCGTCAGGTTCGCCCGCGCCCACAGTCCGTCGTGGCCTGCGTCAACCCCGCGCGTTCGGCACCAGCTCGTCGGGTCGCCCGACTCCTGCTCTACTCACCTTTTACTTCGCTCGTGTGCCTACCCTTCCTGATCGTGCAACCCCGAGCTTCCAACAGCTGGTTAAGAGAGTTAACTAATCGCGCAGCCGGAATTTATAGCGTGCATGCATGCGCGAAGAACACGGAATTACAAGGACTTAGAAGAAGGAAGGGGGAGGAATTTGCCTACGTCTGCATGGTCTGATCGCGGCATGGGGGACGTAGCCGCTCTCCATGCATCGATCCGATCATGCAGACCGCGGCTACCAAAAGCGCAGCAAAAAAAAGAGACGGAGGGCGGGAAAGACGAAGCGCAAGAAGAAAGATACAGTTACAATGGCGCCCGCCCAAAATTACAGTTACGCACACGATTAAAGGCGCCTACTAATCAGAGTTCCGTTGCAGCCGCATGAAGAAGCGCGTAGACAAAAAGCGTCGCGCGACAAGAAAAATCGTAATTACGAAATTCCTAAATTCCTATCTAATGCGAAGAAGCGAAAGCACAAATTCCAGAAGGAAAGTCCGAAATATCGAGAGCCATCGGGGCTTGACAAAATTCGAAAAAGATTCAAAAGAAAAATTTAAAAAGGAACGAAGCAAATTCCCTCGCGATGTCCGCGCCCAAAAGTTTGGAACCGAAGCAAAAGAAACGACGTCAACATTTCGGTCAACCAATCAATCAACCGGCCGTCCTAGGACACACCCAGCTCTGAACCCAGCCATTCGAAAAGAAGCGACGAAAAAAACGAAAAAGGAAGGACACTAATGCAATTTCCCACCGATCCCGATCTCCCGTAATTGGCCCAACCTCATTGCAACCGCGCAGAAAGTCGCGCGTTACAGAAAGTGGTTCGTCACATATGTGACGCCCAGGGGGTTCCAATATTAGCAAGCTCTTGCTTGCTTGTTGACACGTGTCGATTTCTCTAATCGACCGACACGCGGAGCATCTCTCTCTATGCCACTTACCGTTCAATTGAGTGTGGACGTCGTCCAACGTTGCAACACTGCTCTTCTACTAATTCCTCCGGGTGGGCTTTTGACATTCCAAGGAGGGGGATCACTAGTTTACGTGCCGCCGTTATGACACGCGTCCACTAACCATGCATCAGTGCAAAAAAAAAGAGGGTAGACCCTAGACGTTCCCGGGAAACGGCAGTCGAATCATCGAGGGTGGAGGTGGCGGATGGTTCAGGGGGAGAGCGGGCATGAATCGATTGATGGCGGGGGAGGCGAAATCAGGAAGGGTAGCGTAGTGGAAGGAGCAATAGATGCGGGGGAAGCGAGGGACCTCATGAAGATGGCGAAAGGCGGCGATGTAGTCGGGGTAGATGGTAGAAAGGGTCCGTCGCAGGGCGGCGTGAAAATCTTCGTAGTTTTCGCAGGCGGGAATAGTTCCGGATATAATACAGTATATTTCTACGTGGTTATATTCCCGNAGTCGGGGTAGATGGTAGAAAGGGTCCGTCGCAGGGCGGCGTGAAAATCTTCGTAGTTTTCGCAGGCGGGAATAGTTCCAGATATAATACAGTATATTTCTACGTGGTTATATTCCCGCCAGTCTGCGCTAAACAGGAGCACATGAAGGAGAAAGGAATCAACCACAGAGCGGGTGGTGGCATGCGGATAAACGGAGACTAGAAGGCGGGTAGCGTAGACACGGTAGAAAAGGTGATGGGGGAGAGGACACCAACCATCGGGGAACGGGGGTCTATCGGGAAGACGAGTAAGCATGATGTAGTCACGGGGTCGGCGAGAGAACGACCGGGGAGGAAGCCCGAACGCCGAGATCTTGATGTAGACGAGTGGAGGACCGGGACGGGGAGCCGGAGGGAGCTGGCGATTCACTTCTTCTTCTTCTTCTCCGCGATCCCTCTGCTGCGGTTCCATCGTCTTCTTCTTCTGGCAGCTACGGATCACGCCACGGATCCCCGATCGATGAAATGTTTGCCGTGGGTTGTTTTCCTTCCGCAGCCTCCTGGCGCTTCCGTTTCCTCTGCTCTTCCTCCTCTTGGTTCTTTTCCCGCGGCTGGCTCGATCCGCTGGCTTACCCTGCTTCCCTTTCCGGGACGTAGTCTGGATCGTCCCGTTCTTCACTCGATGGCTCTTCTTCTTCCTCCTCTTCGTCTGCTCCCCCTATCTCCTCGTCCTGCTACGCGTTTCTCCTCGCGATCGAGTCCCAAAACGTGAGATTGGTAACGTCGATCTCCAAGTAAAGCGTCTGGGATGGATAGAGACAGTTGTCGTCGTCAATCTCCGTACACGTGGACCACACAAGGTGCGGCTCGAGCGTTCGAGACAGCACGTGGGTGTTGGGCTGCTCGTCACTGCGTGACAAGATATCTAGGGGCAGATCATCCACCAGCTGAGTCAAAAACATCAACAACTTGTCTGTGATCAAGGTGAGATTGCCCTCCTCCACCTTCTCGAATACGAATCCCAGTAGATCGCCCTGCTCCGCCGTTCTCCAGGCTTGGATGATCAAAAGCTCCACGCTGTCCTCTGGGTGCTCTGGTCCTTGTCCGAACGGGACCGCTTCTGACCAGCGGAACTCTATCTCCAATAGACAGAAAGCGAGCTCGATATAGTCCTCCCACCACGTGTCCCACTTCTCCTCGCTCAATAGCGGCGCACTGTTCTCCTTAACACGGTAGGAGAGAGTAGGATCCCGTGCAGATTGCCAAAGGGTGGGGATGCTGGAGGGGAGGCCGAAATAGGAGACGAGACGATGACTCGTTGGGGCGGCGCGAAGCTCTGGAAGCACGATCGCTGGCGACCTTCGAGACGAGCGGAGCTGGAAGTCCGTGTCATGCGCCGGCACGACGGTATCTCCTCGTCGAGCAAGGAGAGCTTTCCACGCTGCCGGCACTTCGCCGGCCCAGACGCGCAACGTCCGATAGATGTCGGAGTGAATCGCCGACAGGATCATTGTGATATCCCCTGTAAAGACGACGACAACGGCGATATGGCTAACCCGGGAGGGGATAGCCGTCGGAAGGCCGAGATCTCGGCTAGAACGCGCGTGGTTGCCTCCTCCGTGAATCGAAACTCTGCCCCCGCGTAGATCGCCACCGTGCTGAAGAAAGCTGCGAACCGGAGGAGATCAGAGCAGAGATGGGGCCGCTGCACCTCCCGTATGACACTGAATCGCCCCCGCGGAGTAAGAAGCCGCGCGCCGATCACTTGCTCCGTTGCAAAGCTCACGGCGATGGTGACGGGGTAATAGAGAAAGAACAGTAAGGAGACGGAGAGACAAGAGAGAGGTAGTCGTCGCCTTCTTCCGCAGCGGAGGAGGAATCGGATGAATGTGAAGATGGAGAAGGAGGAAGGGGACGAAGGTAGGACATGTGGCGGATGATCAGGCGAGCCGATCGGCTGTCGGAGACCTCAGGCGCAAGTCGCACGGTGTTCACGTCGTTTGGTCCGAGTTCGATCACGGAAAATCGCTCGAAGAATCGTGGCGCTAGCTTACCCTGGCGATCACATTTCCTCACCTGCACGATGTCCCCTAATTTGTATTGGGGCCGTGGGCCTGCATTCCCATTCCGGGCCTCGTAGCTTCGGACCTGTCGGCCTTGGGCCAACTCGGTCATTCTGTGCCGTTTTCAGGCTAGCCTGGGCAGGCACCGTTCCATTAGTTCCAAGTGTCGTTTGGCCTTGTCCCGAGCCGTGGCCCTGGTGGGTCGTCGGTTCAGTGTAGATTCATTCGGGAGGCTTGGTAACGAAACGCAAGTGACGCTATTGGTCCTTAATTGGAAGGGGCTTAGCCCCGTCGATTCATGAGGTGTACCGCGATGGACCGCCTGGATGTGGTCGACGATATCAGGCCAGGGCCTCGGATCCCGTGCCGCGATATTTCGTCGCAACGCTGTCTTTATCACCCTGTTCTCGTTTTCTACCAGCCCATTGGATTGTGACATGTGGGGTGCAGTGTTTCGTATGGCGACGCCATGTATGACCAGATTCCTCAGTACCTCTCCCCTAAATTCAGCCCAGTTATCGGTCAGGATCTCTTGTGTATCTTGGTGCGTCCCGAGAAAGCAGTTGACGTACCGCGCGATTTTGGCGGCTTGTCGCGTGCGACAAGGGTAGGCCTCGATCCATTTCGAAAAGTGGTCGACAAATACCAATAGGACTGAATACTCACAACTATTAGGACCAGGGGGCACCACTATGTCAGTAGTATCCATGCTGACTCTTTGAAATGGTCGTTAAACTACCGTTGGCACTATCGATCTTGGCGGCTGAATCGGCGCCTTATCAGCGAGGCAGAGTTGACAGTTGGCGACGATGTACTTCACATCGTCGCGGATATTGGACCAGTACCACTCATTTTTGTCGATAGCCGACTCTGTGATCCGTACGGCGAAATGAGCCGCAGTTTCTTCATGTGTCGTCTTAACCTAGTCATACCTCATGAACGGATGTGGTACAACCATCCAAACCCCACTGCCGTCTGTTTTCCATTTTTCTAATCTGCCCTCTATCCATCTGTAATCCCGAGCCCTTTCGTTGGCCCTCCTCCGATCTTCCTTGGTGAAATCCTGGAGGGGGTTACCCACTATGGTGGCAATCAAGGTGATATTAGTCCATACTTCGGCCCTTCTAAACTTCCGGGTCTTTTCCAATCCTTCTGACGTAGCATCCAAAAAGCGAACCTCCGTCGGAATCTTGTCAGTCCGACACAAGGGGCACAACCACGGTTTACTATCGTTTCTGTATTGGATGCACGAGCCATGGGCTCGTGCGACACACTGTCGACAATCTATCCAGTCCGCATAGCCTTCCCCGTTAGGACGCATGGAGACCGAGTACACGCGGGAGATGGCTTCGCAAAAATAGCAAAATTTGTCAGGAAGGGAGACGAGAGACGAAGAGGAGAGGGGAGAAAGAGGGGTGGTGGGGTTACCTTTATCACCCATTGCCACCGTTCTGCTTCTTGCCACGTGGGAGAACTGCCACTTGTCCGTACTTAGGCTCGTTTGTCAAGTCCGGCTCCTTCCACGGTGTAATTTCCTCGCCCTTTGGTACTTTAGCAGGTCGATGCAGACGTGTCAGTCCGTCCGCGTTACCGTGTCGCTCTGTCTTTCGATGAACGATATCGAAGTCGTACTCTTGTAGTCGCACCGCCCAATGGCCAATAATGCCCGTGTAATTAGTGAGCTTCTTCAACGCCAGCAAAGGTTCGTGATCTGTTACGAGGCGAAACTTCTGTCCGTAGAGATACGGATGGAAGTGTTGGATTCCCCAGACTACTGCATAGCATTCGCCTTGAGGTGCTGAGTCATTCCTCGTAGGAGACGCTTACTCGATGACGTGTTCACGACCATCGTTCCCCTTCTGCGCTAGAATAGCGGAGATAGCTTCCGGTTGCCAGTCCGTGATGAAAATGAACTGCTTCGAGGGGTCCGGCCGAATCAAAATAGGGGTCGTTKCCAGAGCGTCCTTRAGGGTTGCGAAAGCYTGTTGSCACTCCGCGTCCCAACTKAGAGGCGGGTCCTTCCGTAGCAGGTTCGTTAGTGGTCGTGCAATCGCGGCGAAACCCTTGATGAAGCGACGGTAGTACGATGCCAACCCTAAGAAGGCTCGAACCTGCGTCAGCGAMRTGGGAACTGGGGCTTCTCTTACCGCCGCAACCTTTCTTGAGTCCGACCGCAGTCCTCCAYGTGTCACGACGTAGCCCAAGAACGAAATTTCCAAGAGAAAAAACTCACTCTTCTCGAGCGCGATCTTGAACCCAGCGTCTCTCAGCGCTCCCAATGTCYACTCSATGTGTTGCGCATGCCCGTGATTGGTCTYCGAGTAGACAAGGATATCGYCCATGTACACGATCACGCAGAAGTTGATCATCCCCTGTGTTAGCCGCGTCTTGTTGACGAAGTTCTGGAATGTCATGTTCATTGCTCGCTGAAACGTGGAAGGCGCGTTACAAATCCCCATCGGACACCGAGCCCACTTCCACGTGCCTTCAAACAACACGAAGGCCGTCTTTGGCCGATCCTCCTCCTTCACGAGAATGTGATGGAAGCCATGCCGAATATCGAACTTGCTAAAATAATTGGCGCAACCAATGACATCCAACAAATCATCAATTTGAGGGAGGGGACACACATCCTTAATCGTGATTTCATTCAACTTGCGATAATTGATGCATATGCGAATTGATCCGTTTTTCTTCGGCACTAACACTACGAGAAATGACCATGGTCCGGTGGCGGGTTCAATCCACCTGCTGGCTTCAAATTCCCGAATTCGTTCGAGAGCCTTTTTGCGTTCTATCAGGGAGTATCGGTACGGCTTGCAGTGGATTGGGGAATGATTCCCCGTTTGTATTTCGTGTTGAATGACTAACGACAGGCCAATGTCAGTGTCTGTTACGCTAATTGCTTCTCGATATTCCATCAGGATGTCCGCAATCAACCGATGAATCTCATCGGGTACGTACTGTGGTACGTGCAACTCAAAAAGTTGGTCCCAGATCCGTACATTTATCTGTTTTGTGCGTGCGGGTTTCGCCACATCAGGTGGGGGCGCAGAAATGAAGGAATGGTCCGATCGCCAGGTGAACACTGTGGCCATCATCTGGGCATCTTCTTCCCGAATGGCCATGTGTCCTTCTGGGGTGATTCCGTCACAGACATCCTGCCATGGTACTGTTTTAGTTGCGATCTTTACTCCAAGTTCATCTGAGTCAGCTTCAAGGTGCCCACGGGGTTCCAAACAACTGGATTCTGCCCCCAGGCGCAACAATCGCACTTCTTTTGCAGATGTCAAGAGAGACCTTCGTAGATCCGTAATGTCGCAGTAATGCTTTTTGTCGCTGTATCGGGAGAGAAGTGAGGTGATCCCTTCGTACAGGGTTTGAGGGGGTTCCAAAGAATCAACCATCCTCGAAATCTGCACGAGGGGTTCACCCAAGGTCATCGCCTTGGTCCTTTGAATGTTCCTACTAGTAAGATGCATGGTTCTTGCTATCGTTTTGGGTGGCGGGTACTAAACACGCTGTCATGCTAGCTTCGAGATTTCCGGATCGTCCTCATCACTGCTGATCGCATCATTCGTTGATGACTCCCCATCTGCGGATTCATCCCARGAGATCATACGRAGAGTCCCTGCCATCATCGGCGAAACCCGTGGGACCRCGTTGATGGTGGTAYGAAGGGTTAGTCTCATAGGCACAGCATAGGGCTTTCCTCCCGTATTTCAGAGGACGATCGATCGTCGTTCGAAATCCAGGTTCGCTCGTAACGCCACAAGAGCAGGAAGTCCGAAGAGAACATCGTAGATATTCACATCTAGCACGACTACATCTCCCAGTGCGTGCACCTTCCTTGATCGGAAAGCCACGTTGGTCATCCTTCCCACTGTTTTATTTTTTTCTTTGTCGGCCAAAACGAGTTGATCTTTCTCGGAAAGCATGATCATATCGTTTTTCCTACCTGCCCTCTCAACCACTCTTAGCGAAATAGCCAACACAGCCGCTCCCGAATCTATAATTGCGTTGTAAGGAATTCCCCAAATTTCAATATCGCATTCTGCGGATTTCCACGGGATGGGTTTAATCCGCAAGAAATGATCGTCTTTCTGGATTAACCCTACCCGAATTGGATCCAAAGTGCCCGCCGGGTTTTCCTCGGGCGCGGGGTTTTTAGACTTTACGTTCGGTATTCGGGCGAGGGCGAATCGTTTTCGGTTCGCCTTGAAGTGCGGTAGCATTCGCTCATTAGCTTGCTCAGAGATCGAGAGCAGATGACCGATCGGAAGCGGAATCCGATTGTCCAAAGCTCGGATAATGTTTAACACGTCGATTTCCCCTGTGACGAAGGTGGGTCCTCCCGACTCCATTTCTCCTGGAGAGGGTCGCCACTCCGCCACTTCCTTCGTTCCGATCATTCCAAGCCCGAGATATCCAAGCGATACGTACTGATCTAACGGGATGAGCTAAGCGGCCTCTTCCGTGGTGGCTAAGGCACTTCCCCCACCCTCTACTTCTTCCATTAAAGCTCCGACTCGTTTTGGTCCGTTAGCGATGGGGGCCGCAGCCATCGGCGCGACTCCGACATGTTGTTGCGGAGGCCTGTGAAAGCAATCACGGGCTAGATGCCCTGGTTGATGACATGCGTAACATCCGTTCAGATTGCTTTCGACTCCCCCAAGAGCGGGTGCCGGGGCTAACACTTGCTGAATCGGAGGGGCGCGCACCGCAATGGGCCACATGTTCCTCATCATGGGTTCCAACCGAGCATTGTGCTCTCGCTGCTCCTTTTTGCTTTCTTGGATCAAGCTAATTAGCGTCTTGGTGAGCTCAAAAATGGCTGCGGACTCACTCGACCTTACAGGGGTCTCAACCGGCGGGGGGGGTAACGCCCTTACAGGTGTTGGTATCACAGGAATAGGGATGCTCGGGATTTCACTTGGGGTAAGTCGTTTGGGACCTATCTGCTCCAGATAGGTAACGGGGCCTGGCACAAACCCCATGTTTTCGAACTTATTCTGTAATGCAGCCAGCTCAGCTCTCGCTCGTGCGAGTTCGGATGAATCTCCTTCTCTAGAATAATCTTCTCCTTCTAGGAAGTTCGCCGTGAAATTCCGTTCCATTTCTTCCGCAGCGGTCATGATTTGTTGCCGCGTGTGAGTGATGGGGGAAAATTGCTTTCGCAACTTAGCCCTTATTGTTCGGCTGCGAAGCCCATCAATGAACAAATCTCTCCCTACTTGCTCACCTCGCTCAGTTTTCACAAATATTTGGTAGAACCGGTTTCGATATTCTGCAACGGATTCAAGAGGTTTTTGCACTCAGTCCTTGATCATGTAAAGCGCTTGCTCCGGGTGAACATAATCAAATCGATTCATGAAATCCCGTTCGAAGTTCGGGAGATCAACCCATACGTAGGTACTAAACCAATGATGAGCGTCTCCTCCCATTCGAGTCGGAATGTTGATTTGTGCTTCGTTATCATCGTACTGCTGTGCTCTAAGTGTGGCCAGCCATGCTCCTGCGAGATGATGTGCTGGATCGAATAGATAGAGATCAGGTCGCGTCATGGGAGCCCGTGCTCGTGGGGCGGGTTGATTAGGATTCAGTTGATTAGCATTCTGTTGCGGATTCGGGTTTTGCACATTAGCAGCCATATTGGCTGCTCGTCGATTAGCCCATCTGCTTCGGGTAACGATAGGGTCGTGTCTATGCGCGTTCCGGGGGCGAGGCCGCCCGCGGTTAGCCAGATCGCCTAATAAGTGTGCTATCAATCCTAAGACCCAGCCAAGTGTCCGGCTCCGATACCAACCTCACGCCCAGTAGGATGCGGACCTGGAAGTGCGAAAAGGGGTGTGCCAAGGATTTTTGGGAAAGTGGAGTCCCAGGTCGGAACTAAGATCTCCTGTGACATGTTCTTTCGGGGGCACGAGTGCAATTTGGCGGAAAGGGGGTCTCCGGGTTACAAGGCAGGTGGTATGTGCGGGTTGCTCAAGATCGAGCGAGCCATTGGTTTCGGGGACGGTGGTTCGTGGGCGGGTCCCGTCGGGGTAGGTGAGGTTCCGATGAGTCCGCCCGTCGGGGATTGCCACGTGGCGCTGGTCGACACGCGTTCGGGTTAGGCCCTCGGAACTCCGGGGTTTTCTGATCGCCACGTCGTCGGCAGTTCTCGCAGGGTGTGCTGGGCCAGTAGGGGGCTATGGCCGGCCACATAACGACGCTGAGTTGATGGTACGGAAGAAGAAGGGGAAAGGGAGGGAAACTAGTGGTGATGACGACAGATCCCGGGTGGATGAAGTAGTAGGTATGGTCTGGAGAATGGAAATCAGAGCACCGGGGGTCGCTAGAGGTGGCGCAGTGGAATTCCCGAGGACATAGTCGATTCTCAGTGTTGCAGGGTATCGCTGCCTTAGGATTTCGTTTATCCAAGGGGTGAAGTAATCCGGGTCATAGGATGAGTCGGAATTTCAGGATCGTGTCATCATGTCATTGTGGTATTAYGAGTTGCCTAAGGGAGGGTCCGTGGCGACCACRGTCGCCGYGTGCGAGCACGTGCAGGCCGCGCRAATGRCGTCGKACTTACGYGTGCTCGTGCGGGTCGAGTGCGCCGTGGCGGATTCCGAGATGGTCACTCCCAATCAGAAAGATTGATGGTCCTGATGAGTTGACGTCCGAGGATACAACAGGGGATTCGTGAAAACCTCACAATCGGAGAAAACCTAACATTTCTTATAGAATGAAAAGTAAAAGTCAAACTGTTATTTTGAACATAAAAAGAGAGCGTTTTTCATCGTTTTGCGATAAAGGAGGCAAAAAATCAGGTGAAAAGTCTATCGTTCCTCAAAACGTGCAAGAAAACCCTTCCTTGCAAAATGTTTTTATATGACTATAAGTTATTCTCAGTAGATTGG